AAAAAAAAAAACAAACAAACAAATCCACAAGAGCCAAAATCAGACCTTGATTTTATCCCTACTGAATTTAGAGACATCTAAAGAAATAGATTTGATGCTTTGAACACCCAATGACCAAAAACCAGAAGAACTATAGGAAAACATGAAGAATATCATTCATGAAGAAAGCAAAACGTCATTAAAAAGATAGGAAAGGAAGAAAAGACCAAAATGGATGTCAGAGGAGACTCTGAAACTTGCCATTGAATGGAGAGTAGCTAAAGCAAATGGAAGAAATGACAAGATGAAAGAGCTGAACAGAAGATTTCAAAGAGGAGCTTGAGAAGACAGTCAATTATTATAATGAAATGTGCCAAGATTTTGAGTTAGAAAATCAAAAGGGAAAAACATGCTTGGCATTTCTCAAGCTGAAAGAACTAAGGAAAAATTTAAGCCTCAAATTGCCATATTGAAAAATTCCGTGGGCAATATGTTGAATGATGCAGAACACATCAAAAGAAGATGGATGGAATAATCAGAGTCACTATACAAAAAAGAATTGGTAGATGATCATCCATTTCAGGAGGTCGCATATGATGAAGAACCAGTGAGTGGTACTGAGGGAAGAAATCAAAACTGCCCTGAAGGAATTGGCAAAAAACAAGACTCTGGGAATTGATGGAATACCAATTGAGATGTTTCAACAAATGGATGCCCCACTGGAGGCACTTATTTGGTTATGCCAAGAGACTTGGAAGACAGCTATCTGGCCAGCTGACTGGAAGAGATCCGTATTTGTACCCATTCAGAAGACAGGTGATCCCACAGAATGTGGAAATTATTGAACAATGTCACTGATACCACACACAAGTAAAATCTTAATGAAGATAATTCAAAAATGGTTGCAGCAGTATATTGACAGAGAACTTCCAGAAATTCAAACTGGATTCAGAAGGGGATGGAGCAAGGAATATCATAGCTGATATCAGATGGATCTTGTCTCAAAGCAAAGAATACTGGAAAGATGTTTACCTGTGTTTTATTGACTATGCAAAGCATTTGATTGTGTGGATCATAACAAATTATTGATAGTTGAGAAGAATTGGAATTCCAGAGCACTTAATTGTACTTATGATGAACCTGTACATAGACCAGGAGGTTGTCATTCAAATACAACAAGGGGATACTGCATGGTTTAAAATCAAGAAAGGAGTGTGTCAGGGTTGTGTCCCTTCACCATACTTATTCAATTTATATGCTCAGCACATAATCCAAGAAGCTGGATTATATGAAGAAAAACGTGGCATCAGGATTGGAGGAAGGCTTATTAACAACCTGCGACACGGAGACCACACAGCTTTGCTTGCTGAAAGTGAGGATGACTTAGAGCACTTGCTGATGAAAATTAAAGACTACAGTTTACAGTATGGATTACACCTCAGCATAAAGAAAACAAAAATTGTCACAACTGAACCAATGAGCAGCAGCACGATAGATGGAGAAAAGACTGAAGTTGTCAAAGACTTCATATTACTTGATTTTACAATCAACACCAATGGAAGTGGCAGTCAAGACATCAAGACATATTTGTATTGGAAAAATCTGCTGCAAAAGACCTCTTTCAAGTGCTGAAGAGCAAAGATATTTGCTTGAAGACTAGGATGCACCTAACCCAAGCCATGGTATTTTCAAATTGCATGTCTCATATGTATGTGAGAGCTGGACAATGAATAAGGAAGATCGAAGAAGAGTTGATGCTTTTGAGTTGTGGTGTTGGCAAAGAATGCTGAAAGTACCGTGGACTGCTAAAAGGACTAACAGATCTGCTCTGGAAGAAGTGCAGCCAGAATGCTCCTTGGAAGTGAGAATGGCCAGGCTTCGTCTGACGTACTTTGGTAATGTTGTTAGGAGGAACCATTCTCTGGAGAAGGATGTCATGCTTAGCAAAGTGGAGGGTCAACGAAAGAGGGAAAAGAAGACCCTCAGTGAGATGGATAGACACAGTGGCTGAAGCGATGGGCTCAGGTATAGTAGGGATAGTGAGGCTGGCACAGAACTGGGCCATGTTTCGTTCTGTTGTACATAAGGGTCGCTATGAGTCAGAGATGACTTGATGGCCTGTAACAACAACAACAAAGTATTTATGTCATGGGCATGTCATAAGGATCATGTGAGGTAGTATATTTAGGTACAGTGTTTGGTGCATAGTAGCATCACAGTATGATAGTTAATATTTCTGTGACTCTGATGAAGCCATTCTTGATAAAGTCATGGAACACTTCTGAGTGGTCAAATGTAATGGAAGTTTGCTAGTTCTTACCCTACTGGATCTTTCTGTTTCTGTACTGGATCTTTTTGTCACTGTTGATTACTCACTCCTTGAGGGTTTCCATTCCCTTGAGTGCTCAAAACTCAAAAACTCATTGCCGTCAAGTCGGATCCAACTCATAGTGACCCCTCCTTGGGTTTTCAAGGTAATATCACTGTGGAAGTAGATTGCCCAGTCCTCCTTCTGAGGAGTGGCTGGTGGGTTTGAACCTCCAGCCTTCTGGTTAGCAGTCAAATGCCTTAGGCACTATGCCACCAGACTGCTAGAGCACTGCATTTGTTTGGTTTTCTTCCTACCTCTTTGGGGATTTTCTTTTGCTTATTTGTTTTTTCTTCATTGACTTTTCTTCTTGCTCATTAAATGATGTTTCTTAATATTCCAGATTCAAGCCAGTATTCTTCTCACTGTACATATTCTCCTCTTATCCTCTCTCATGGTGGATATTAGAGTGCATAGTCATTGTATATTGGCGCCTTCTAAATCTGTATCTCTTTAGCACTTTTGGTATGTACCCAGTTCCCTAGGTACTCCACAAACACCTCAAACTTGGTAAATAAAAAACAAACCTCATTTTCCTTCCTTAAAACCCATTCTTTTTACTGTATTTTTTCTCTGTTAGTGGACTGTTTACTCAAAAGAATAAAACTTGTTAGGCTCTCTTGTTTCCTCCCTGTTCTTTATACCTCCCTCCCCAATGAAATAGTTTCCAAATTCTGGTGGATATTATCTTTTAATTAATTCTTTAATCTTCCTTTTCCTTTCCATCAATGCCATCAGTACCCTACTTGTACTTTAAGAGTGTCCTGGCAGGTTTCTCTTACTTTCTTACTCTGTTCTTCCCTCCCCTGCAAGTATATGATCTTCTAGACAGAAGTGAAGGAGCCCTGGTGGAACAATGGTTAAGCATTGGTGGAGCAATGCTTAAGCTGCTAACCAAAAGGTGGGCAGTTAGAACCTATCCAGCAGCTCTGTGGGAGAAAAGATCTGGTGCTCCTGTAAAGATGACAGCCTAGCTGTGAGTTGGAATTGACCTGATGGCACACGAGAACAACAGTAATACAGTAATCAGAGTGATGTATCTAAAAATCCTGCATGACCATGGCTGCTCATTACTTAAAAGAGCAAATTTCAGGTACCTTAACGGTATAGTTTATAAGATCCTTATGACTTGGCTTCTCTTATTTCTTATCTCTTACCGTTTCCTGCTAGAGTTTTCCCCACTAACAAGTCCAGTCTACATAGATACCATGCTTTTTCTTATGCCTGCACTTTACCTAAGATGCTGTGGTGGCACAGTGATTAATGTTAAGCTGCTAACTGAAAGGTTGGTGATTTGAACTCACCTGCTGCTCCATGGGCAAAAGAGGAGGCAGTCTGGTTCTGTAAATACTTATAGCCTTGTAAACTCCATGAGGCAGTCTCCTTTATCCTATAAGGTTGCTGTGAATTGGAGTTAGACATGACAGCAACAAGTCTGGTTTTGATTTTATGCTTTGCTTGGCCTGTCTCTATGCCTATAGCACTATTTTTATTCCTGTTAGTTTGACTGGCTCCTTATTATGTAAGTCTCAGAGTAGGTGGTGGTTTTTTCAGAAAAGTCTTTACTGGTCCCTCCTCTTTGCTCCAATTAATACCTTAAAAGTATTTCTAGCATGAGCCCTATCATTTTATATTATATGTTTAAGTGTGTCTTTCCCACTTAACTCAGCTCCTTAAGGGCAAGAACTGAATTCAATCATTCATTGAGTCAGTGTTAATTGAGCATCACTGTGTGCCATATACTAACTATCCTAGGTGCTGGAGAATATTGAGGATAAAATAGACACAGTCCCTGTCCTTATGGAATTTATTTTCTAATGGGAGAGACAGAAATTAAAAGAAAGGCATAAGAGAGATGCATAAATAAATGTATGTTAAGTATAAACTGTCTAAAGTGACAAGAAGCAAAACTAGAGTACTTGACTGCCAGGCAAAACATCAGTGGTATGAGCCCACCAGCTATTTCATGGGAGAAAAGACCTGGCAGTCTGCTCCCAATAAAGATTACAGGATAGGAAACTATATGAGGCAGTTTTACTCTGTCATACAGGATCACTGTGAGTCAGGATCCACTTGATGGCAAGCAGGTAACAACAGTATGCAACTGTAGGTTTGATCCTGAGTGCCTAGCCCAGTGATTCACTTAGAAGAGACACTTGGCTGTGTTTACTGAAATGAAAGAATGACTTTATGGCTCATGAAGGCCTTATCTTTTTTCTTAGGTTCTCTTTCAGCAGTTACAGCATATGGAAGCTGAGCAGAATACTTTAAGCAACACTCTGGAAACAGAAAGACAGGAGTCTAAGATTCTGATGGGAAAGATGGAACTTGAACTGGCAGAGAGAAAATTATCCTTCCATAACCTGCAGGAAGAAATGCATCATCTTTTGGAACAGCTTGAGCAAACAGGCCAAGCCCAGGCTGAACTAGAGTCACAGTACAGAGCCTTGGAGCAGAAGCACGAAGCAGAAATAGAAGAGAAGATCTCTCACATTTTGAGTCTTCAGAAGACTGAACAAGAACTACAGTCTTCCTGTGAGGCACTAAAGGATCAGAATTCAAAGCTTCTCCAAGAGAGGAGTGAACAGTCAGTTCAGTCAGCCCAGGCAGTTCAACAGCTGGAAGGTCAGTATTTGATTGCCTTTGAAACCTATATCTCTAGCACCTGAATAGCTCCTACTTCAAATTTTCAGGCATCTTTTAATGACATTATCATTTTCTCACACCAACTGACTCATAAAGAAGATTAAGAAAGGCATCTTCCCATGCCCTTTGTTGCATTTTTCCTGCCTTTGATTGACATTATAATCTGGCTTAACATAATTATTATTATAGCCCTAAAGACTATTGATAATGATGTGCCAGACAGTAAATAGAACACTTTGTGAAACTTGAGTCTGGCCTGAAGGGTTCAATGACAGAAATGAGTAGCATTTGAATTAGTTTGTGGAAATTCTAAGGCTAGACCTAGGTGCTTAGCTTGGGAGAATGCATTGCGTGGAGTTACCCTTAGCTCTAAAGAGGGATATGAATGCTTTTTATATAGATGAGAATTTTTTTAAAAGAAAACTTTCATTCTTTAAAAAGTTTTAAAGAAAACTTTTTTTTAAGAAAAAAGTATATTACTATAAAATCCATGCATGCCTTTAAAAAATTAAACATTTTAGAAGTTTATAAATTAAAAGTGAAATTTTCTCAGCACCAGTCCACCATCTCCACTACTGTTTTTCATCAATTAATAACCTCTATTAATAGATTGGTGTATATCTAAAGGAAAGATTTTTAAAGGAATTAATTAAAGATTTGTAGTGAAGAACTGAACATTAACCTAAGAGCCTTAGGGTATTATGTAGGAACAATGTGTTGTATGAGTATATGGTCTTCTTTAACAACAGGACCATCTTCATTTTTAAAACCATTCTGTGGAATCTTAACTGGGGAGAGAGGAAAATAAAACAAAAATGCCAAAGCCGTTTTCAAGGGGGAAAGGAAAAATGACTTTTTAAAAATGCATTGGCCTATTTTGTTGTACATTTGAAGGAAGTAGGTTACTGAAGTGCCCTGTAGTTCATGGATGGTTTATTGAGGTGCCCTTTGGTCCCTGAGATCATTTCAAAAGCTGAAATAAAAATGTCCTTGGCATTATAATTTTAAGCAAGGTAATTGAACTAGAGTAAACAATGTTGGGTGTATCCCTAGAAGATAATAACTTACCAAGTTTCAGAAGAGAGGCAGAGATCATTTTACTTTATTTCCTTTTCCTTAGATCAACTCCACGAACAATCCAGAGAAATTAGCCAATTTCTAACTAACCCAACCTTGCAAAAACATGAAACAGCATCTCAGACTTCTTTACCAGATGTTTATAATGAGAGCATACAGGTAATCCAATGTAAATGTCTTGTGAATCTGATCTGTTTGTCTTTGCTGTATTTGTACTTTGGTTTCCTAATGAGGATTTATTCCAGAAAGCATTACAAGCCTTCAATCTTTCCTGCCTGATAAACAGCATTTTTTTTTCTGTAGTTCTATTTGAAAAGAATTATGAAATGCATTAATGTACTGTATCAGCAATTAATAATGAGAAAATAATAGATAAACACCATGATCTTGGGAGCATTTCTGATTCTAAGTCTTAGAAATCTGTACTGGAGATGGACCATTACTTTTACCTTATAATCAATTTTCCCAGTTCAGAAGACAGTTTTATTTTTTGTAGACTCAGATTTGATTATGCCTAGAGTACACAATTCAGTCTAACTAAACTCATAAATCTATTATAGGAATCATAATGCTCCCATTTTTTAATTAACAGTAAAAAAAAAAATATGACTGCCCAAGTGTCTGTTTTGTTCTAAAAAATTCTCTGTGGGAAGCTAGATGAGAATTACCAGAAGGCTACTTATTGATCATAAATATCTGAAAAAGAGGGATAATGGGATGTATCCATCTCCATTTTAAGATTATATTCTTTTAAACTGACAGACATATTAGCTGGCAAAGTCCCGTGGTCCCAGGGCAGTGCTAGACAGAAAATTTTTTTTTTTTCTTTTTTACTTCTGGTTTCTAGCATCTAGGCTTTCCAATCTATTTTATTCTTCCATTCTCAACTCTACCTTTACATTTAATGTGATTATTGATATATTTAGCTTTACATCTCTTTGTTGTTGTGGTTTGTTAGGTGCTGTCAAGTCAATTCTGACTCATAATGATCCTGTCTACAACAGAACAAACACTGCCTGGTCCTGCACCATTTCCACAGGAATGACTGTATTTGAGCCCATTATTGCAGCCATTATGTCAATCCATCTCACTGAAGATTTTCCTCTTTTTCACTGACCCTCTATTTTATTTCACCAAGCATGATGTCTTTCTTCAGGTTTTGGTCCTTCCTAATAACTCGCCCAAAGAATGTGAAATGAAGGCTTGCCATCCTCACTTCTAGAGAGTGTTTTGGCTGTACTTCTTCCAAGACAGATTTGTTCGTTCTTCCGAGAGTCCATGGTATATTCAGTATTCTTTGCCAACACCATAATTCAAAGACATCAGTTCTTCAGTCTTCCTTATTCATTATCCAACTTTCTCATGCATTTAAAGTGATTGAAAATAGTATGGCTTGTGTCAGATGCACCTTAGTTCTGAAAGTGACATTTTTGCTTTTTAACAGTTTAAAGAGAGAGATCTTTTGCATGAGATTTGCCCAGTGTACTGTGTCTTTTGATTTCTTGACTGCTGCTTGCTTGAATGTTGATTATGGGTCCAGGTAAAATGAAACCTTTGATAATTTCAGTCTTTTCTCCATTTATCATGATATTGCTTATAGGTCTAGTTGTGAGGATTTTAGTTTTATGTCCAGGCATAATCTATACTGATAGTCTTTGATCTTTATCAGGAAGTGCTGCAAGTCCTCTTTCCTTTCAGGAAGCAAGGTTGTATGATTTGTTTAATGCAGGTCTTCTTCCAATCTTGATGCCACATTCCTCTTCATATAGTCTGCTTTCTCAGATTATGTGCTCAATATAGAGACTGAATAAGTATGATGAAAGGATACAGCCCTAACAGACACCTTTCTTGATTTTAAACCATGCAGTATCCTCTTGTTCTGCTTGAACAACTGCCTCTTGGTTTGTGTACAAGTTCCTCATTACCACAATTAAGTATTCTTCAAAACATTATCTGTAATTTGTTATGATACACATAGTCAAATGCCTTTGCATAGTCAGTAAACATAGGTAAACATCTTTTGTTATTCCCTATGTTCAGCCAAGATCCATCTGACGTCACTATTATCCTTCATTCCTCATACTCTTCTGAATATTGCTTGAATTTCTGGCTCTTCATTTTGATGTACTGCTGCATCCATTTTTGAATTATCTTCAGCAACGTTTTACTTGCATGTGATATTAATGATATTGTTTGATAATTTGCACATACTTTTGGATCACCTTTCTTTGGAATGGGCACATATACAGATCTCTTCCAGTCTGCTGGCTTGGGTAGCTGTCTTCCAAATTTCTTGGCATAGATAAGTGAGCACTGAAAGCATGGTATCATATTGAAATATTTCAGTTGGTATTTTGTCACTTCCTGGAGCCTTGTTTTTTGCCAGTGCCTTCAGTGCAGATTGGACTTCTTCCCTCAGTACCATCAATTCTTGATTATATGCTACCTCCTGAAATGGTTGAACATTGAACAATTCTTTTTGGTACAGTGACTGTATATTCCTTCCATCTTCTTTTAATGCTTCCTGTGTTGTTCAATTTTTAGCCCATAGAATCCTCAACTCAAGGCTTGAACTTTTTCTTCAGTTCTTACAGCTTAAGAAATGCTGAGCATGTTTTTCCCTTTTGATTTTCTACCTCCAGGTCATTGTACATTTCATTATAGTACTTTACTTTGTCTTAAGCTGCCCTTTGAAATCTTGTTTTACTTTTACTTCATTATTGCTCTTTTACTTCATTATTTCCTCCTTTCTTTCACTTTAGTTACTTTCCATTAAGAGCAAGTTTCAAAGTTTCTTCTGACATCCATCTTGTCTTTTATTTATTTTTAATGACCTTTTGCTTTCTTTTACATCTTCTTTACATTTTAATTTTATATTGACTATTGGATGTTGTAAAAGTTTTTTCTCAAGTCTCTAAAGTCTATTAGATTCTTCTGAAGAGTTTGATTATTTTTTATCAGCCTGTAATTTTTTTTAGATTCACAATATAAGAGCTGGACTTGGTGGGCAGGCATTTAACATTTAAGTTGAGTTGTTTTTGCCTTAGCCGCACTGCTTGGACTTCCTTGCAAATACATAGTTTATCATTCAGCCAGGGATTTGGGCTGAATATATACAGTTTGTGGCTCCCCTACTCTCTGACACACTCTTCTGTATGATTTTTCCTTTCACATTCTTACAAAGTCTGTCTTGTCATTCTTAAAGCCAGAAGGACTAGGACTTTTCTAGTTTACTTGCCCTATAGGAGCTCTAGTGACATAGTACCTAAGGCATTTGACTGCTAACCAGAAGGCTGGCAGTTCAAACCCACCAGCCACTCCTTGAAAGGAAGACTGGGCAATCTACTTCTGTAGAGATACCACTTCGAAAACCCAAGGAGGAGTCACTATGAGTCTCAGTCGACTCGATGGCAGTGAGTTTGGCTTTTATTTTTATTTTTATTTTTTTTTTATGTTATATGACGCAAGGCTCCCTGATGGTGCAGTGGTTAAAGTGCTTTGCTGCTAAGCAGAGATCAATGGTTTGAACTCACCAGACGCTTCATGGGAGAAAGATGAGGCAATCTGCTTCTGTAAAAATTTACAGCTTTGAAAACCCTACGAGGCAGTTCTGTTCTGTCCCTTAGGTTCACTATGAGTGTCAATAGAGTCAATGACAATGGATTTCGTTGTTTTTGTTATGTAGTGCAAACTGGGAACACCCTTTATGGTAGAAGCTATAAAAACCCTAAATTCACCCCTTGCCATTTCTTTCAACATCAGATGAAGGGCTGAATGTACTATAAAGACCCTCATGGCTCAAAAATTCTATAATTTTATGAAAAATTGTATAGGGGTATTCCTTTTCAGAAGAAAATATATAAAAAGACATAAGGCATGATTAGCTATTTGTTTCAGTCATTAGAAAACCAGACCTTCTGGATGCATAAAATAACTGTAAGAGAATTATTATGATACTTAGGGAAAAGCTGTGGTTTTTCTTTGTTTCTTAAGGAGTACTATAGTACTATGTACTATGGTCTGTTTCTCTTTGGAAAGCCTTTCTTCATGTTCATCATCCTACAGGAGAGAGACCTTATTACTTGGTGACATTAATCTAATCTTACAACCTTGTTTGTGAACCTGAAGCTGTGATCCTTCCTTGTGCTTTTCTTCCTTAGTAGATACAGGATTTCTATGTTTGTAATCCAGGCTTCAATTTTAAATTCAGAAACCAATGTCCTGGGTTTGTATTAAATATTTTGCTTTTTACCTTCAGGTAGAAAACATTACTTCAAATGTCACTTAAACAGATCAGTATATGCTATTTCAAAAGTATTTTCATGGCTGGAGAATTTTTAGAAGACAAAAATGTTACAGGCATTAAATACGAGAGTTTTTCACTGGAGAATCATTAATTTGTCGTCTTTCTATAATTTAGGCAGTCACTGAGGAAAATATTGCCTCTTTGCAGAAGAGGGTGGAAGAACTAGAGAATGAAAAGGGAGCCTTGCTCCTTAGTTCTATAGAGTTGGAGGAGCTGAAAGCTGAGAATGGTATGTATAAATGTAAACCATAATTTTTTATCTTTTTATCTCATAGAGTACCTTGATTTTCATTACTGTGAATGTATAACATGTAGATCCTCTGACAATAAAGATCATAGAAGGCAGAGCTGATAGTTACAGAAAATAAGATTAATACACATTGAACCCTTAGATCACAACGTATCAGTGTTTATATAAGTCTAACATTTTACAGTATAGACTATAAATGCTATAGGAGTTCTGTATTATTAATACTTGTTTTGGAGTGGTAAAGTTATCTTCCAGGAAGTGTGGCTTGAACAGGACCTTAAAAAGATGAATTTTTAAATAGGCAAAACAAAGAAAGGACATTCCCAGTAATAATTTTGTGGGCTAAAGTACAAGGAGGGGTCGCTATGAGTAGGTCCGACTCGACCGCAAATAACAACAACAAAGTAACAAACAGAAAACAAAAATTAACCACTGCCATTGAGTCGTTTTCAACTCATAGCAGCACCTCCTTCGTTTTCCAAGGTGGTGTGTCTGTATGGAAGTAGACTACGCAGTCTTCTTTCTGAGGAGTGGTTTGTGGGTTTGAACCTCCAGCCTTCTGGTTAGCAGTCAGATGCCTTAGGCACTATGCCACCAGAGTTTGTATAAATAAATGTTCAAAAGTAGGAACTATTTTGGCTTTGCTCATGCTATACCCTGCTTAGAACCCTACCCCTTTTCTTTAACTTGGTTAATGCCTATTTATCTTTTAGTCTTCAACTAGTACATTGTCTTTTTCAGGAAGTTGATCCTGATCTTCAAAAACTGGATTAAATGCATCTTTGCATACCTTTAATGTAGCGGGGAGCTCTGGTAGCATAGTGGCTAAGACACTTGCCTGCTAACCAGACGGCTGGCGGTTCAAACCCACCAGTCACTCCTCGGAAGAGGGGTTGGGCAATCCTACTTCCGTAGTGATACTGCCTCGGAAACCCAAGGAGGGGTCGCTATAAGTCGGGTTTGACTCGACAGCACATAACAACAACAACAACAACAATGTTGTATTAAAATGTTTATATATATATGTTTGTCTTTTTACTACACTAACACTTCAAAGATAAGAATATAATGTCTTCAAGATGCATTTTTTTTTTTTTAAATCTTTGCTTTACCAATAACTAATTTAGTACCTGGCATATAGCTGCTGAATAAAGTTTTAGTGGACTAAACGTAATCTGTCATTGTATTCTGTTGGACTGTGTGTGAGCATCAGTAGGAATTGAGCCCATACCTCTTTCTGTTTATCACTTGCTACACAGGACCTTCCTGGATTTAGTAGTACATGATTAATAATGTTTTGTTGATATAATGAATAAAGCTTTATTGATATAATTCATCGTAGATTAACCACACTTTATCTTCCTTCTAGAAGTAAGAGTGAATGAACACCAAGTACTTTGTCTCATTTCTTAAATCTAAAGCTAATTTTTCCACCTTTACTGGAATATTTCCATCATTCCTGAAAAATAATAACATAAATTTAGCTCATTACTGAACCCACTCAGAGTTCTTCTTCTTCTTTTTTTTTTTTTTTTTAATAGAGACCAACGGTTTATTGTATACTTTTCTTTCTTTCTTTTTTTAATTGTGATTTGGGTGAATATTTACAGAGCAAATTCACTTTCCGTACAGCAGTTTACATATACTTTGTCTCATGACATTGACCACAATTTACCATAATGCAACAGCTCCCCCCATCCTCCCCACAGTTACCTCTTCCCATTGTCCATCCCTCCATGGACTCCTGCTCCCTGAGCTGTCTCGCTGTGCATAGGCATCCCTTCTTTCTCAATGATTGCTCTCTCCAAAGAGTGTATCTACCAGAGGTAAATGTTCAACTCATATGCCTGTCTTCTGTTTGGCAGGAAACCACAGATGTGGGTTCAATACCAGACCTGAAAGGCAGCTAGGGGCCATAGTCTCAGTGGTTCCATCAGGCTCTATTGGACCAGCAAACCTGGTCCCCCCCCCCTTGTTTTTTCTACAAATGATTTTGAGTTTTGTTCCACATTGTTCTCCCTCTCTATCAAGGATCTCCTAGACAGATCCCCTTCCAAGTGGATGACAGTGGTAGCCAGGCACCGTCTAGTTCTTTTGGTCTCATAGTCGTATAGGCTGCAGATCGGATGGTGTACCAGTCGCTAGGACTAATTGTTTCCATGAATTTTGTTTGTTCATTCTTCTTTTCTCTGGACAAGGAGAGACCCATCGTTGCATCTAGATAGCAGCTAGCTAGCTTTTAAGATCCCAGTCGCTACTCGCCAAAGTAGGAGGTGGAATAGTGTTTTATATAGTATGTTACACTGATTGAGCTTGATGTCCCCTGCGACTATGGTCCCAAGCCCGCAGGTTCAACTACTCAGTCCCTCTTGGTAGCTGGCTGTGACCAAGCAGTGACCACAGCCTTCCCCTTGTCAACTCTGCTATACACCTGGGAATTCTGATCATTCACATAAACTT